CCTGAGGAAATCCAGCCCAAGTTCGCCGCGATGACTGTGCTGCTGGCATCGGGGTTTCTCCGCGGCATCCCTGCCTCCGGACCGCCTCGCCGCTGCTCCCTTTGAATCCTGAACCCTGGGTTAAAGCTTAATTCTCATGTTGTGGTTGCTGGGCTGCCGCTTTCCCGTGGTTGGCGATGGGAGGTGGAGGAAAAGGGATTGTCCGTGAGTCAACACTGGAAATGTGATTCGGAGGACCTGCTTTCACTGATCTGCTTTTAACCTTTTAGTCCATGTTGGCCTGTGACCCCTTTCAGCTTTCAGATCGAGCCTGATTAGGTAAGTGTAAATTATTCACTTGGGGTGAGGGAAGGTGGATGGAAATGTTTTACTCGGAGACTTACCTACGATCCTGGCCTCTCTCATGATGAGAAATGATGAGAAAGTTCAGCTGGAAACTAATTCGGAGCTGAGCAGCATTTGTTTACTTGTTGAAATCTGTCCGTGCGAGACGTCCGCAGTCTGTCTGATTTCCAGGATCGCCGCTGAGCCCAGGGCTTGGGAGTTGCTGTGGGACGTCTCGGATGCTGTAGCAAAATATAGTGGTCTTATTTATGGTCTTCGGAGAACTTTTTTTTTTTTTTTTTTAAATAATTTGGAGAGCTTTCTCATCAAACTTCAACAGATTCTCTCGATTGTTGCACATTTCCTCAGACATTAATTACTTCATTTGCATTTGCTTTTTTTTTTCCCCCCCTAAATGCCCACCAGCCTGCAATGTTGCAGCCTACCTGTAGCATTTAGGTGGGCGAGATTCTCTGCTCTGTAGGTACGTAAAGCAGCCGTATCTGCATGAATCACTTGATTTCCAAACAACGTGTTACAATAGATATTGCTGATAGTAGTAACAGGGTGCATAGTCCTTGCGATGGAAACGTAGCTAGTACTTCAATTAAGAAGATATCTTTTGAATTTGATAAAGCTTGTGTAATATCCGGTGTCTCCCTCTGTTGTGGCTTTGGAAAAACTGCTTTGTCAACAGGATCCCTTAGCTGCTTCTCTAGGATTAAAGCTTTCTTCTCCTGCTGCTGCTTTTTTGCTTCAATTAAGGGGGAGTTAATTGCCGAGCATCTGCAGTCCACCGAAAATCCCGCTACATAAAGAATATCTCCCAGAGGGGTGGAGGGGGGGTACGTGTTTCCCTGGGTGTGTAGGTTAATGCATGTTTGTCTATACTCCGGGTGCCTGTCTGTGCACACTATGGGAACAGGGGAAGAAAAGGAACGACACGCACAACCAAACAGTCCGTTTTTGGTTTGTGCCAGCAACTGCCTCCATCGTTCCTCAATCCACGTAATGCTAATTTTTCATCTCATTTGAAAGTTTCGTGTAATACTTTGCCCAATTGTCTTAAGAGAGGTCAGAAACCATTTTGGTGCTGGGGTGGCACCGGCTGTTGGCTGGTGTGCAGGCAGGACGGTGTGTCGGTGGCAGTGATGTGGCACCGCCGGCAGCCAGTAACACGCACGCACACACACACACGTACGTACACACGCGGAGCCTTCGGCTGGAGCTGACTCTCTCTGGGAGCGATGCAAAGCTCCTCTCCCTCTCTGGGTCAGTCCTGGGCTCGACCGCTTCAGCAGAGCTCTCCAAAGGTCGGGCCATGCTGCATTGCTCCCAAAGTTTTCGAAAGGCTCCAGTTTAATCAGACAAACAAATCTCAGCAGCGCCATGCGTTACACGGGCATTTAACATCGTGCTCTCTGCGTTTCTCTCTGGGAATTACTGAAATGCTGAATAATGGAGAAGGTGAATTACATCTTTGCTTCTGTCGGGATGATACGTACCTGCTGCGGGCTGGGCCGGGTTGGTAGTCCCTCTTCAGCAATGCTGTACATAAAGTTCTGTACTGTTCCACCTCTCACAGACCAAGTATAACCGAGCACCATCTTTCGTATTGGATGCAGATCTACCTACAGATTATGCTTATCTCATTTTTCGACTCAGGTTTCCCACCCCAGTTTAATGAAGTGGGCTGTGCGCCGTGCCTAGCACAGAGGGACAGTGGCTACAGCAGGAGGTTAAGACCGTGCTTAAACTTGGGTTCAAATCCCTCTGAGCTGCCCATCACCATGCGATATCAGGCAGCTAGTTTAATTTCTGGTGCATCAGAAAACTCAACTGCACGAATGAGGAAAGTAAAAATTAGATGATTCTGTGAACCACCATTTCTATAGAGATACTTTGTGGGTATATGCTTACAGGCATGTGTGTCTAATCTATGTGTTTCATACGCTTTATTCACTTTAACAATAATTGAGAAGAGGCTTAATTCAAATGAAGCGGTGATAGTTATCTGTGCAGCTTGAAAGCACTGATTTATTCTTGGTTGCTGGTTGAAACTATTGCCTTTATAAGTCAGTATTCCGTAGAATTTTGAGTTTGTTCTCACTTAAAAATATTTGTTTTCAGACCACAACACTGGTCTCCCTATGGAAGCAGCTGTTCCTGTCTGGCAGTGAGATCCCATGGAGAGGCAGAGGAGGGGGATGGCTCTTCATATCCATGAAGCCTGGATACTTCTGTTTATAATCCCTGCTTTGGTCACTCCAGCTGCCATCAGTCATGAAGACTACCCTGCTGATGAAGGGGACCAGGCCTCCAGTAATGACAATCTGATCTTTGATGACTACCGAGGGAAGGGCTGTGTGGATGACAGTGGCTTTGTGTACAAACTGGGAGAACGGTTTTTCCCGGGACATTCCAACTGTCCCTGTGTCTGTACTGAGGATGGACCTGTTTGCGATCAACCAGAATGCCCTAAAATCCACCCAAAGTGCACAAAAGTGGAACACAATGGATGCTGTCCAGAATGCAAAGAAGTGAAAAACTTTTGTGAATATCATGGGAAAAATTACAAAATCTTGGAGGAATTCAAGGTATGAAAGCCTTTCTTCAGTATTTAATATTAGTATGCTCTAGGAATTGTGATTCTGTTGGGGACTCTCAAAGGCACTCAGTATTTGCTTACTGCTATTTACTGGTGCTAAAGCTGAAGTCCTTTTTGGCTGTCACGCAGGTCTGGCTAACGTAAAAGCTGCCATCTCCCCCCTTGTGCGCACTCACTGAGGGCCGGGGTCAGTGAAACCCCCACCCTGAAATGCCAGCCCTCTAAATCTGCTACTCCGGACAACCTCCCTCTTTGCTCATAGCGTGAGTCAGGTTGGACTGCCAGCGGTGTCTGTAAAAAAAGTGGTAAACCAATACTGAGTGCTTTTTGAGAACCCTTTTTCCAATTTGGATAGCAAAAACTGATGGCATGGTACTGAGAGTTGTTACTCATGACTGTATGAGGATGCAAGTAAGTAGATTGCAAGCTGTATTTAATCAGTTCATTTCAACTGTGATAAGGCTGTCTAGAATGGCAGAAGACGAGTTCCTAGGCGGATGACCGTCTCAAGTAATGAGACGTATGAGGTTTAATTGTGATGGTTGAGTTCCTATTAGGAATGCTGTAAAGAAATAATCCTTCTGGAACGTATCTTAAAAATAAGACCAGATTTTCAAAATCCCTTACCCTTTAAACAACCTGCAACTCTCATTCTAATGAGTCTGATTGCATGTTTTCAATTCTGCTAAGGAAAATAGCATTTCGCAGTGACAAACAGGGTCTGTAAAAGCAATAGGTATACATGAGTTTGTTCTCTCAGGTCACATGGCTTTAAGACTCGTATCTCCATAATTAAGAGCAGCCTATAACTCTTCATGGCTGTGTGCCTGATCTCATTATCCACTTGCAGATTTATTTTCTTTTCTGGCAATGAAAATACTTCCATATAGGTCTGTGTACTTCACAAGTTCTTGGTAACAGAGATCACAATTTCCTTTTTCCCAGCTATCGTCATGTTCAGCAAAGGTGGTATTTAGTTCCTTTCTTCTATCCTATATGGTTTATGTTCGTCTTTTTTCTGTCCACCTGTAACTGCAGTCACTCAGTATGGGGAAGACAGTTTAATGTCCTAGACACAAGGCAAAATAAATGCATGAAGAACGTCTCCTTGAGGGCCGTCCTGATCGGCCTGTTCTCTGCCTTGCTTTGCAGAGGAACGTGAAAATGCTGATCTTGTGAACTGCTTAAGTAGCAGTTTCTTCTTGCCCTAGAAAGGCCTAGCCCAACTTCATCCCACATCCCATCCATGCTTCAGTGGTCCCATTTTGGCTGCTGAGTTGTCAGGCGATGAAATGTCACACCTCGGTGTAATTCTGACACAAGGTCAGGTTCTTACGTGAGAGTTATGAGGACTCTTTTTGGAGAGATTTTAGGAAGGAGAAAGTCACAAGGACTTTTTGGAGAGATTTCAGTGGGAAATAATGAGATGGATCTTCTCATTAGAGTATCTTTTGCATGCAAATGAAGTACAAAAGTACTGATAACTTTTCCGGAAAGAAATAATTGCACCCTGATAACGGATCAAAGGATAGAGAAAGAGAATTTAGGGGTGAAAGGCTGTTAGAGAGAGTTAGAGCAGTCTGGTTCATTGTTTGCTGTGTTCAAAAACGGGGTGTTGCATGGACAGCGACGTTCCAGTATCCTCCGAGAAACACAAAGCAGATGGTGGCACGCCACTCTCGCACACGGTAACCTTCAGTCCAGGACTGATGTGAGAACCTTCAGACTTAATTTAGTTGACAGTTGAGCTTTTGACCTGGACCTGTGTTTTGTCGAGAGCTTGATACCTTGTGGCACAGGGCAGAAAACTTTTTTTTTTTTTTTAAATCTATGTGTTTATCTGCAATAAATAGTGAACTTTTTTTTTTCCCCCCTCTAAGTAGTGGAAGAGATTCAGGCAATGGAAGATTACTGTGCACTTCCAGGGGTGTTTTGGGGGAAAAAAAGGAGGGCCTGTGAACTATGACTTTATAAATGCTATAGGGAGGACAGAACTTCAAGATTCAGGGAACTGCTGCTATGAAGTGAAATCTTGACTTCATTGAATCATCCAAACATTTTGGTGTTTACTTCTAGGGAACAAAGAGTTTACCTGCTGTCTCCACAGGTGGAATTCTGGGGAGTTCATAGGTTTTACAGGCTCTGAGCTCTCATCCTGTTGAATTTATAAGGTCTGCAAACTTTCTCAAGTCCATTCCAGTCAAAGAGGAGAGGCTTTCTCCAGTCGTTCTGACTCAAAACCAGACTGCCTTCAGTGGCAACAGAGGCACTGTGTTACGTGGGCTCGTAACCCTTTCACCCACCTGATTTACTTTTGCTAATATGTAGGTTCCAAATCATCATCCGTAGAAGTGCTTGTTGCTGCGTAGTTACAGCTCAAATTAACCTCCATTTAAAAATCTTTTGCAAGTATGTGTCTCTGTGTGTGTGTGTGCCAGGACTGACTCATCTTGTAGAAATTTCAACTGTCTGATCTTTCACAAATTAGCATTTATTTTTTTTCTCTAGGAAATTTTTTTTCTCTAGGATATCAAAATCTGTGAGAGGTTTCCGTTTGGGAGAATTTTCCTGTCTTGTTTCTAGATTTCTGTTTAGGTTTGAGGTGAGAAATCCAAATGCAATTTCATCTTTTGTTTCGTACTACTGACAGTAACTGACTATCTCAGGGTAAAGGAGTAGTTATAAAGGCCTATTTCTTGAATATTTAGCTTTCCTCTAGTGAACTGATCTTGTACCTCTGATTTTTTTTGACTCATAACAATCATAAGCACAAAATGTAAACATGACAACAAGCCATCTAGCTTAGACAGCTGTCCAAATGTTTATGCTTGTGCCCCTAAATCATTAACACGTACAAATGAAATGCTGAAGTGAAGTTCAATTGTACATCTAAACCCATTTGTAGTTTTTCTTGTATCCTTTTGTAAAACCTTGTGTCCCTGGCAGATGGTTTAGTAACCCCATGTAGCATCTTCATAGCTCTGTTATGGGTCCTGGGAGATCTTTGTGGGTTTTGGGCCCCAGCTGCCCGTACGGAGCCTGCCCCATCTCCTTGGTTTGACTGGGACTGATCCCCAACTTGGGCCGAGGCTGCGGTTCCCCCTGGAAACCTCCGCAGAAAAGGTCAGCACGGTCTCTCTAATGGGAATGGAGATCTGACTCAAATGTGTCTAACGTATAGATTGCTGCCCAGTGTTCAGGATTTTGATTCCTGTGTGGAGCAGTAGGCAGGAGAAAGGGGAAGTCTGGTGGCTTTTACTGGGATCCACCTCTCTCTTTCCCATCTCATTTTCCCCATCTCTCCTTGTCAACCTCAAATCTGGTCTCTTGGGTCTCCTCCGGTCCCTCTTGGAGGCAAACGCGGGGCGACGGGCAGCTGTGATGGCTGCAGGGAAGGTGTGAAGGATGCTGCGAGTCTCAGGCAGTCTCTCTGTTTTCTCCAGAGGGATCTGGCAGGGCCTCTCGGGGTCACTTAGCAGCTTGCTTTTTCTCCCACGCATCAGCCGTGTTTTGATTTCAGTCCTGGAGGTTAAGGTCTGAGTCCCGAGTGCTCCGCGCTCGCCTGTACTAGCAGAGATCTTTCAGGGAGGTTGTTAACCCTCCTCTTTCTTCCCAGAGAGAGAAAACAAGCAAGTAACAACTCAGAGTGCGGTCTCAGTTATTGTAAGTAGACATAGTTGTGTTTTAAATGAATGTTCCCAGACAGCAGCTTATATAAACTTCAGGAGACAGTGTACCGCCGGCGTGATGGATGTTCATTGGCAGCTTGTGGAGAAATCGTGCAAATGTCAGTGAGACAACAGTTTTCCTACATGCTGATTAGTTTTTACTCTCTCGCATAACTTGCTGACAGAAAAGCACATACCTACCCACATCTGAGAAATGTAGTTGACGGTGTGGTTAAGGTGTATTTGTAGGCACAGTTAGGAGCCGTTTGAAGAGGATTAGGTTGTCATTTGGACAGTCCCTAATCATTTCTGAATTTCCTAGATCTCTCACCACCCATTACAGGCGGATCCAGAATATGTAGCAAAATACCGTTGCTGGGGAAGGAACAATCTGTTCACAAGAGATTGTCAAGCTGACATCTTGAAAGTTCTCTTCGTTGTAGACCCTCAGGCAGGAACTGCTCCCTGTCCCTGCTGGAGAGTGAGTCCCAGTGACATGGGTTTTGATAGCATGGTGCCATCCTTCTCAAAGTCAATGGCAGAAATTTTCGAGGCACAGACGCTAAAATACCTCCATTTGCCTGGCATGACATTGGGCGAGTTATCCTTTGGGTGGGAACATGAGCGGTTTTGGCATCACAACTTGGCCTTCCCGGTAATGTTCAGGTCAGAAGAGCAACTTCAGCCTGCAGTTGTGAGCTTGAGCTTGGAAACAGCTCTGAACATGAAGAACGTTTTTTGGGTGCTCTTCAGTGGCCGCCCTGCTTTCTGCCAAGCACAGAGCTGCAATTTCTTCAGCCATTGGCTCTGCCAGTGCTTAACCTCTGCTGCTGCCTTTCATCTGCCTGCCTTTCCCAAGGACTTCTCCACCTGCTTGTCTTCTCCCCTTCTACTTTCACTGCTCCCAAACCCATCCTCGCTCAAAAAGTCCCTAGATGATGTCCAAATGTTTGTCCCTTGCATCAAGCACAAGTATGGAGGGATGGGAGAACAACCCTTGCCCCTGGGCCGGCCTCTGTACTGAAAAAAAAAGGTGGGGGGGGGTAAAGAGAGAACAGGAAAAGGGGAAATTTTAGCTTCATTCTAGGGCAAAATCTCCACTGACTTGAAAAGAGCCAGGATTTCACTGCTGGAGTTCTACTTTATTTTTCTTTCTCATGTTTCCTGCCACTGCGTCTTATGTTCATTGCTTTGTTTTGCCCACAAATCATCTGTAATCCTTCAGCTAGGGCTTCTGTATCTCACTGACTTTATGTCTTCTGGAGCAGCACTTTGCACAGTAGGGATCACAGCTCTAACAGGGATCTTCGGGGTATAATCA